CACTGCTCTTTGGACTGTCATAGCTGAAACTCCTCTCTCACATGCCAAACGTCTTATGGATTGAGTGGGATCTTTTCTAATTGATCTCTTTAGTTTTAAGTTGAAATGATGATCCCTCTTCCTGTTGTAACCTCCTGATCTAGCTTTCCTCTCTACTGCTCGCTCTTTTTAAACTTATTCACCATTTTCTTTATGCTTCTTGAATGGATTTGAAGGTGAAAGCCAAAGTACGAATGCTGGTACCATTACTGAAGGCCGGAATGATCTTTTTCCTCTCATCATTGATCATTTGGAAAGATAGTGGGGCTAACACAAAAATATTTTAACCTCTTCTCTTTCTAGCAGAATAACTCAAAACGTTTTTCTGTGATTCTTACGATAAATGGTGTCAAGAAGGACAACCTTCTTATCTGAAAATATAGAAAATGAAACAGTTAGTTTCGTGGTGTTTTCGATATTAAACATTTTGTGGGATGGACAATTATGCTGTTACACGATTTGCTGGATGCTGATTTGCGATTTTGCTGTTACACCCGATATATATATATATATATATATATATATATATATATATATATTGTTACGAGGATGCATTTCTATAATAAGGGATTCCACTGAGTCCTACTTGTTATTACAAAAAAGTTTTCATTCATGAAGTAGTTGTAAAATAGAGAAATTAGAAATAGAATGTTTGGAAGATTCTAGATCATTCTAGTATATTCGAGAAAAATCTAGATGATTCGAGAAACATCTAGAAATATGCAAATTAGGTGTTAGCCCCTATAAAAATGGGATTTTGGAAAAGGGTTGTCAGTTGGTGAATGAGAATTTCTGCTGTTATCAACTCCGGCTTTTGATTCAAGGACTATTATATCCAGCCGAAAGAATCTCTATAAAAAGTTGCCGACCAACCAAAACCTAAAAGAGAATTTCATGGAACAAATTTGGTAAATAGAATTTTGACTAATTTTCATTGACCAAAACTAAAAATTAATATTTATTTACACACCTTTATGTATTTCCAAATATAGGACTTAGATTACTTCACTAGCCCTAAAGTGATAAAGATATTTGATTCCCTTTCCTTCTCCCTCGTAACACTTCGCCAGTAACTCTGTGTTTTCTGTTTTGTAGGCTACAATTGTTTATCCTGTATATATTTATATGTTCTGTTTTAGTAAATTAAATATTTGTTTGTGATTTAGCTCTGTGTTGTGGTAAATCATTTTTTTCCTTTGTTACAATTATCAACACGCAACAATATATATATATACCCAAGTATAGGATTGGTGTATACAGAATAAATTCCAATAAACGTAAAAAAATACTATCCTTAAAAGAGTGCTCAATACAAAGTAGAGCAAATGTAATCATTTATTCGAAAATTATAAGTTAAAAAATTATAAAATCACTACAAAAATTGACATTTTGTTTCAACACTTCTGTTGTCCTATGGTGTTGAATGTAGAATAAAAGTTTTTTTTTTTATATTCTACTTTCAACACCATCACTTGATAAGACACCAGAGGTATTGAAATAAAATGGCTATTTTTGTAGTGATCTATAAAATTTTTATGTTATAATTTTCGAACAAATGATTATATATATATATATATATATATAAAATCCACACACAGATTGTTTCGCTGTATCACAGTTCGGCTAAATATCCGATTGCTTCAAGCTGGGATCGAAACTCGACTGATTTGGCATCAGTCAGAGACTCTACTCCCAAGCTATTGGTCGGCGCAAAGCAGAGAAAGGGAATCTTTTAATGTATTATATACGTGATGTATATAAACGTCAAATCAGCAGGTAAGACTCTGTTTATAACTGAGGACCAATAGGTTAATAGCAGGACCTAAAATTCCCCTTCTCCATAGTGCCTAATCGGTGAACGAGCATATATATATATATATATATATATATATATATATATATATATATATATATATATATATTTCTTATATATATATATATATATATATATATATATATATATATAATAATATTTTTGTTTAAAATATGATTCCTTCGCTACATAAGAGTTCTCATGTTTCAAAAACGAGAGACGAAATATCCAAATAATTATTAAAATTAAGTTGGATTGTGGGTGTTTAGTCCTGTTTCATCTTCAAGCGAAATTTTAGGAATCTTAAAATAAAAACAAAAAATACTAAGGAACCCCGGATTATGCACCCAACGTGTTTCTTTTCTATTTTCTGCATACCTACGCACTTATACATATATATATATATATATATATATATATATATATATATATATATATATATATATGAAGAAATATAGTCTTAGGTGTGCTATATTTATGGGATAAAGTCCTCAATATCAGAGATAGAGCGTGTGTAAATATAAAAGTGAACATAGAAGTCAACACTTAGAGGCGACAGTCTGTTTCATGCTATATGCAATCGTCAAAACTATTAAATAAGTGATATAAACAAATTTTTACTACGTTAATAAAAACACCGATTAAAAAATAAACAAATAAATAAAATAAGAAACAAAAAATAAAAATAAATAAAAACAAGCAAAATAATTTAACCCAAATAAATAAATAAATAAATAAATAACCGCCATAATAGACTACCCACAATGCACCACTGACCCGTATATATATAAATAGCCAAGAAAAATAACAGCACACGTGGCCTGACGATTGCATATAGCATGAAAACAGACTGTCGCCTCTAAGTGTTGACTTCTATGTTCTTTTTATATATATATATATATATATATATATATATATATATATATATATATATATAGTATCAGGTAGGAATGCAAATTGTTTCGGTTTCTAAATAAATTTCATATTCTACGAAAGGCATGAACTTTCTTTCTAACCAAATATCACATATACGTACACAGAGATCAGACACACACATTTGCCAATATTATATATATATATATATATATATATATATATATATATATATAGAGAGAGAGAGAGAGAGAGAGAACGAGAGAACGAGAGAGAGAGAGAGAGAATATTTATTAAGGAACAAACTGACTTATATGACAAGAGGAAAAACTATACTTAGTCGGAGCGTTTCGTCCTCTATGTAGAATCCTTTTTTTTTTTTGCTTCCCCGGCTAATTTGAAGTTGCATGTGGTTCATACATGATAGGGTTTCTGCACATTTCAGTCCCATTGTCCGCGATGCACTGACTGATATCAGCTATGAAAGATGGATAGGCAGGGAAGGACCGATTCCATTGCTTGCATGTTCCACCGACCTCAATCCTTTGGATTTCTATCTGTGAATATACCTAAAACAATTGGTTTATGCAGCAGACATTAATAACGCTTCATTATTGTGTCATGGAAGCCTGAAAAACCATTCGATACTTTGTGATAGTATTTGAAAAGGTCCGCGAGTCAATGATCCGACGGCTGGATTCGTGTCTAGACGCAAGTGGAGGATATTATGAACATTTGTTATGAGTTGCTGTATTGAGGTACAAGGATAGCCTTTTGGACATTTTTACCTTGTTTTGGCGTCAGTAACCCTTAAACATTTATAAAAGTATTTTTAGATCTTATCTTGATTTGTACATATAACAGAGTCTACCGTAAACTTAAAACTTAATAAGTCAAAAGCAAAGGATTTGCGGATATATGTGTATATGGACTTTTGAACCTGTTTTGGTTTGGACCCACCCTCAAATTTTGTAGATGTATTTTTGATACACCCTATACACCAATCAATGAAGGTCAGAGTTCACTTATGATGTCCCTATTCTAAGTGAATATATTTTATTTCTAACCATCAGTTCACCATTTCTGGATTTGTCCTGGGTATGACGAAAAACTACATTTGGCTGCAAGGCCTTTTATCGGGAGATCTGAGGTATTGAGGAGCGTGGATCATTTTTCTTAATTGATGTTTTTTCCAAGGTTCATCCTGGCCTGGTTTGGCAGCATATGTTAGGGTCCCACCTGTGGGCAAATACTGAACAGCCAAACAGAAATCAAAACACCAGAAATGTATAAATACACATTTCTATTGTAAAAACACCAGCAATACATTTTTTATAAAAAATTGCCAAGAATACATTTTTCTCGCAAAATGACCAACAATATATGTTATAGCAAAATGTCAAAGAACACTTTTTATAGTAAAATGTATTTTATAGAAAAATCACCAGTAATTTATTTTTTAAGAGAATCACCAGCAATGTATTTTATAGCAAAATCCTTAGGAATGTATTTTATAGCAAAATCACCAGCAATTTATTTTATGGCAAAATCTCCAGCAATAAATTTTATAGCAAATTCGCCAGCAATTTATTTTATAGCAAAATCTTCAGCAATGTATTTTATAGCAAAATCACCAGCAATGAATTTTATAGCAAAATCTTCAGCAATGTATTTTATAGCAAAATCACCAGCAATGAATTTTATAGCAAAATGGCCAGCAATGAATTTTATAACAAACTTACCAGCAAAGAATTTTATTGCAAACTCCCCAGCAATGTATTTTATAGCAAAATCACCAGCAATAAATTTTGTAGCAATATCTGCAGCAAATGTATTTTATAGCAAAATCACCAGCAATGTATTTTATAGCAAAATCACCAGCAATTTATTTTATGGCAAAATCTTCAGCAATGTATTTTATAGCAAAATCACCAGCAATGAATTTTATAGAAAAATCGCCAGCAATGAATTTTATAACAAACTTACCAGCAAAGAATTTTATTGCAAACTCCCCAGCAATGTATTTTATAGCAAAATCACCAGCAATAAATTTTGTAGCAATATCTGCAGCAAATGTATTTTATAGCAAAATCACCAGCAATGTATTTTATAGCAAAATCACCAGCAATTTATTTTATGGCAAAATCTTCAGCAATGTATTTTATAGCAAAATCACCAACAATGAATTTTATAGCAAAATCGCCAGCAATGAATTTTATAACAAACTTACCAGCAAAGAATTTTATTGCAAACTCCCCAGCAATGTATTTTATAGCAAAATCAGCAGGAATGTATTATAGAGCAACATTCCCAGTAATGTATTTTATAGCAAAATCACCAACAATAAATTTTATAGCAAAATCACCAGCAATGAATTTTATAGCAAAAATCGCCAGAAATACATTTTTAAAGCAAAACATTTATTGGTCTTGTAGGAAGATCAAATTTGAAATAATCATCTTCCTTCTCAATGCATTTACCTCCGTGAGGAATGTTCATAATACAAATCACACTTTACAGTTGAAAATAAACAGCTCAAAATTCAGTGAACACTTACACCGTAGGCCAAAACATTGAGACAACATTCTCGCTTTAATAATTAGTAAGTGTAATAACTTCTTTGGCTTGAAACTAAGCTAGGATGCTGGAACTAATCCATTTGTGCATAGCATTTATTGTTTTAAAGAGGTGCTAACTTAAAATGTAAATTTAGCCACATTTAAGATTACTATTAGCCAGCAATGTTGATCAGGCCAAAAGAGCAAACATTTTGAGGAAACTTTATGCATTCATGTGATAATTTTGTAATTATTATTATTATTATTATTAATGAATATATGTTAGACTATTTCAGGAAGATAACGTCATTTTGATCGGAAGTGAGATAGTTTTGAAATATTGCACGCAACGTTCAATATTTAGGCAATTCTTCGACATCCAGACGGTAGACGCAAATATTTGGTCTATAATGTATGTGTCGTACTAGGGAATCATTGATTCAGGTTCGTATTTTAGCGTGAAGCCTTTAAATGTTTCTCTGTGGTGTAAAGGTTAATGAGCAGTATAAGAGGCAGTTACTCGTGTTTTGTGAGTTCGATTTCCATTGACTGCCCCACAATTGTTTTGTTAGCCCATTTCATTATTATTATTATTATTGACATTTGTGTATGTTAAGTTTCTTGCTTCGTATCCTGTAAAGCCGGACCCAAACTATGCTCATTAGGACTTATAGGAGAATTGTCACTTAATTGATAGCTTTTTTCTTAGTATATGGCATGGTCCTAGTAGGGCCATCTCCTGGGCAACTTGTATGTTGATGTTACCTGGGATACTGTTATTATTATTATTATTATTATTATTATTATTATTATTATTATTTATTTCTGGTGTAAACACGTTTCTTTCCAGGTCCCGCCCAGAGAATCTCAGGTCAGAAATAGCATCACATTTTCCACTGACAATTTTAAAAAATATATATTTTACATAGATAAAGACTTTCATAAGGTGTGGGCTGGACTTGTGAGAACAAATTTTTGTATTTCTTTAAGGCATGGACTTCAAGGTATCCCTTCAATTAGTCTACTGGAATCTTTTCCAATCAATCCTAGGGCTCCAACTACAACAGGGATTGTTGATGTTCCCATGTGCCACATTTTTGAGATTTCTATTTCAAGGTCCTTGTATTTTGACAGCTTTTTGAATATCTTCAAAGATACATTGCAGTCAGCAGGGACTGCCAAATCAATAAGGTGGCACTTTTTTTTGTTTGTGGTCTGTAATAACAATGTCTAGGCGGTTGGCTTTGATTGTTCTGTCAGTGTGTATTGTGTAGTCCCATAGAATTGTAACAGGCCCTATCTCCGTAACCGGATCTGGGTGATGTTCATACCAGTTTCTTTCAGTTTCCTTCCCGTAGAAGTTGCAGATTTTTCAGTGCAGATATTGGCCCACTCTGTCATGTCGGGTTTTATATTCAGTGGGTGTCAATACCGTGCAATCTGATACAAGATGATCAAATGTTTCTGGATATTTATCACAGAATCTGCAATTTGGGCTAACACAATATTTTAGTATGTGTGTTTGATAATTTCTAGTTAACAAGCATTGGTCCTGTGCAGCAAGGATAAAACATTCGATTTCAGCTTTCAACCCTGCACTACGTAGCCACTGATGGGTACGGGTTTTGTCTATATCAACTTGTTTGGTACGGGAAGAGTAATGGCCATGAAGCGATTTATCTAAACATTGTTTCTGTATCTGGTTGGTTGCATTTCTTTTTACTTTCTTTTTTCAGTATTTTACAGCTTCAGTCAGTGTATTGAGCTTTGCTTGTATTTCTACACCCATTTGAAACTCCATTTTGAATTTGTTGGCTTCCTTTATTACGGAATAAAGTCGCTTACTACTTTCATGTTCTTTGATACATATCATCATCCAGTCTTCTGTAGTTTCCAAGTATCTTTGGAGGCCAATTGTTTTAGGTTTGTAGGACAGTTCTAGTTGAACTAATCCTCTGCCTACTTCAGATCTGGGTACATACGATCAACATCAGCTTTGGAATGTTGCATGCAGTAGCAAGTGAGAAGCTTTCTCGTTTTGGCGTCTATTCGCTTAATGTCAGCTATGGTCCAATTAAGGATGTTAAAGTTGTATTGCACCACAGGGACGGACAAGGTGTTTATGGCTGATTATTATTATTATTATTATATTTCAATTTCTGCTATAGTCACATTACCAAGTCTGCGCGGAGACCTAAAGCTGGTAGTGGTGTGTTGCTGTGGCTACATTTCATGATTTTTCTTACTTCCATAACATCACTAAAGTTACATGCACAAAGTTTTTCTTACTGTGTGGACTGTACTTACTAATAAAATCTTTTTGAATTTCTCTTAAGTTGACATTTCCAAGGATTTTTCAATGTGTTGTTGTGTTCCTTTTTTATCATTCCAAGCGCACCTACTATGACCGGTATTATTTCAGTTTTGAATTTTCCCGTTTCCAGCTATTATTACTATTGTTATTATTCATTTTTTGTATGTTATGGTTCCTCCTTTGTATCCTGTTGATCGGGGTCCAAACTATGGTCCTTAGGCCCTATAGGAGAATTGTCATTTAATTGATAGCACTTTTCTTAGTATGGTCCTAGTAGGGCGATTTTCCGGGCAACTTTGTATCTTGATGTTACCTGGGCTCAGAGCTCCGATTACTCTTGGTACAGTCTCAGTTTTCATTCGCCACATCCTGTTAATCTCGATCTCCAGGTCCTTGCATTTGGACAATTTCTCGATAATTTTTATGGGGGTGTTTCTCTCAGAAGGTACTGCAATGCCAATAGGCGTACACTTCTTGAATTTTATTATTATTATTATTATTTGTGTATGTTATGTTTCCTTCTTTGTATCCTGTAGGGCCGAGTCCAAACTATGGTCCATTGTCCCTATAGGAGAATTGTCGTTTAATCGATAGCAGTTTTCTTAGTATATGGGATGTTCCTAGTAGAGCGATCTTCTGGGCAATTTGTATGTTGATGTTACCTGGGACACTGTGAGTAAAATTATCTATTTCTTTTCTCACCAGGCCTAGTGCTCCAATTACTACTGGTACAGTCTCAGTCTTCATTCACCACATCCTGTTAATCTCCAGGTCCTTGTAATTGGACAATTTCTCGATACTTTTCATGGAGGTGTTTCTCCCAGAACATACTCCTATGTCAATAAGCAAACACTTCCTGAGTTTTTTGTCTTTTATGATAATATCAGGTCTGTTGGCTTTTATTTTCCTGTCAGATTGATTTGGCATGTCCCTGAGGATAGTTACATCGTTATTTTGGGTAACTCTGTCTGGTCGGTGCTCATACCATCCATCTCTCAGTGGCTTCGATTTTGTGCTTCTTGCATATATTACAGTGTAGATATTCATTTTTATATATATATTTTTTTTTCATTTGATTTTGGCTGTGTATTCATTTCTTTTCAGACCTAAATCTAAGGTCAGAAATAACATCATAACATTTTCCCCAGAGCAATTTAAAAGATAAATCACAGATATGCAGATAAAGCCTTTCATAAGGTGTGGGCTATACTCGTGAGAACGCTTCAGAATGTGAGTGTACCTCTGGCCCGAAGTGAGCTGGTAAAATGGTTTTGAATAAGGCACGCAAATTCCCGAAGCGATTATTCGAACTCCAGACGGTTTCGCCAAACCTTTAAGCATTTCATGAAAAAATGGTAAGCGTGTGTAGTTCAAGTCAGAAGTAAATTCAATTTGGAAGGGTGAAATATATTTAAAAAGAAAAACAGATACACCTTCAGTAGGTTAATTTTTTACGTCAATAAGTTTCCAGCTTAACCAAAAATTAACAATATACGAACTTTCTCTCTGTAGTTATGTAAGCAAAGATGGTTAGTGACATTTTGAATAACTGAACAGCTTTGACTTTTGATAATTTATAGACAAGACACTACGACCTTTTTCGTTTCAGGGATTTTTTCGTAAACTTTCGAATTTGCCGATCTGGTATTTTAAGAAAATGAACAAGAGATGTTTAAACACTGTTTTTTTCATTCTACGCACACACACACACACATATATATATATATATATAGTATTTTTGTAATAATGCCAATACTTTCCGATTAGTCAGTCGAGTTGTTTTGTATTTGGTTTCGTTGAAAGTTTACAAGAATAATCAAAAACTTCGTTCGATCAACACATTACTTGCAACAAATAAACGTATTAGTATAAATATTTATACCAACACATATCTATGTCAATTCATAATGTAAATATCTATCTATCTATCTCATTCTGTTCAAATCTATCTTTTTTTATCTTCCTATCTCATTCTGTTCATATCTATCAATGTGTTACATTTTATTCATATCTATCTCTCTCGCTATCTATCTCATTTTATTCAAATCTAGCTATCTATTTTCTATCGTTCTATCTATCTCATTCTGTTCATATCTATCTATCATTCAGTTTATCATATCTATCACAGTTCATATCTATCTATCTATCCATCCTCGTTTATTCATATCTATCTAGTTATCTCTGTACGTATATATCTGAGATTCGTATCTATCTATCTATCTATCTATATATATATATATATATATATATATATATAACGTCATCCACAGACAGACTGTTTCGCTGTGTTTCACAGCTCATCAGTGTGGCTAGACATCCGGTTGCCTCTAGCTAGGATCGAAACCCGACTGAATTGGTGTCAGTCGGAGATTCTAACCATTAAGCCGTCGGTTTTTTTAGCATATTTATTTTTAGAAACACGCCCAGTGACCGACAGTGACTCAATTCGCATCTGCAAAGAGTCTTGCTATATAGCTATAATAATCACTGTTTACCAACCCACACCTCGTCCCCAGAGAGCTCAACTGAAATTGATATTTCAGGCTGTCTGTCTGTCTGTCTGTCTGTCTATCCCCGTTTATTCATATCTATCTAGCTATCTCTGTACGTATCTGAGTTTCATATCTATCTATCTCTCTATCTGCCTGTCTGTCTATCTATCTAAGAGTTTTGGGCCAACTACATAAAATGATTATACACCTTTATTTTTTTTAAAGAAGTTAAGTTTGCTTTATCAGCGAACGTTGAGAATTAAGAAAATAAGCTGCTGCCTTTATGCGGCTGTCGTGTAACAGATTGTTCAACGTTTAAGCAGCTCGAAGCTGAAAAAAAGGCCATGCAAGACCATTCGACCAATAAAACATCTGATATGATAATATGCTCTATTTCTAAGTTGGACAAATTATACACAAACACACTCACACACACGCACACACACACACACACACATATATATATATATATATATATATATATATTCTTTTTATAGATACAAACATTTAAGTAAATGCTCTGTTTATAATAAACAGTATTAACGACATTTACCGTCCTGAATATCCGAGATATTTTCATAGAAAATATGCGTCCTCCGACAGGAATCGAACCTGTATCCTATAAGGAACCGTCATATAGACTGATGGGCTTTTACTACTTGAGCCACAAAGGAGCGTTTCGGTTAGCAAGGTCGATTTTTACTGTTTTTAAACTACAATTCTTCATAATTTTCTCTCGTACGTTCATATCTGCTCGATGCGTATCTAAATGTAAACAAAATGTCGGACTTTGTCCATTTCATAATGTGTGAAGTCATTTGTTTACATCTGGATACACATCAAGCAGATATGAATGTACGAGAGAAAATCATAGAGAATTGCAGTATAAAAACAGTAAAATCGACCTTGCTAACCGAAAAAAAACCCTCTGTGGCGAAATATGTGTAAGTGTGTATATTTCTGTGGTGTGTGTATAGGTGTGAGGCCTCAACACTTCCGTAAGTATGTCTGTCTTGTGTGGGTGAGAAATGTGGGTAAGTTTTGATTTGTAGGGTTATATATTAATACTTATATTGTTAAATTTATGGTTAAGTCCTGCTGGATAGTACATTATTAAACTCTAAATTCTTTCTAATGTTATCTGCTCTGGACTTTTCTATTCTCTCAATTATAGTGAATTATATATATATATATATATATATATATATATATATATATATATATATATATATATATATATATATATATAAAGTGAATGTGTGTGTGTGTGTGTGTGTGTGTGTGTGTGTGTGTGTGTGAATTTTCCGCAATTTTCGACAGATTGCAAAATTTATATGCACATGCTCCAAGTTAGTGGAAAGGTCAAGACCGACTTTGCATCTCCCAACTCCCATCGATAGTGGAAATAATCGATTTTTCATGCTTCTACGGCAGTTTTCATGTAGTTTGTGGCCATTTTCTACTGGCCAGAGTGAGAGCCAATAGCTGACTGCCACAAATTGGCAGGAAGATTCTATTGGCCAGCGTAAGAGCCAACAGCTGACTGACACGAATGTTAACTAGCATGCTAGTATGCAAAAAAAAATCGATAGCGGCATTCGTCACAAGTGGCAAAAATTTAAATCTGCATGGCACTTTACTCCAATTGGCTCATTCGCTTGCTTAAACTCAACGGTGATTCTGATTCCGCAGAACTGGGTTGGGTGTGAAAAAGTATTTGTTGTTAACATTCTTTTTTCATTCGTTTTTTCCAGTTACGAGTCCTTTTTTAAAGCTGATCGTTTTGTGTTCATTTTGTTTAGTTCTTTTTTCGTAACAGATTTAATGTTTAGTATAGAGCTTAGAAAAAATTCGCAGTGTGAGATAGGAAAGAAGTAAGGCATGTTGCAACATCAGCACGGTAAAGGGCACTCCTTTAAAGGCAAGTGATGGCAAAAATATTTTAAGTCAAGTATAGTGATTGCTGTATGAGTCGTACGAGTTTTGAATCAAGTACGGGCAACGCCGGGCCATGCTGCTAGTATATATATATATATATATATATATATATATATAAAAGAACTTATAGCTATTACATTTTTGCCTGGTGCTATAAAGAGTATATCCTAATGACTTAGGTATCTAAATAGAGTTTGACACGTAAGCACACAAAAGAGATTTTCTATCGTCTTATCGCTTATCTGTATTAAAAATAAATACCGTATATTTTACATTTCCTCGAGCTGGTATCAGGAATATATCCTGATGTCTACGATAACTTTCGGAGAATATAGATAGTGTTCGACTCCTATGAATAGGACAGAGATATGTTTTTTTTTTTTTTACTATATTACTCTACCCGAAACAATTGCAGTGTACATTGTATCAGCAGTAAAGTCTTTTGTTTGAATCAAATACCGCGAGAATAGCGTTAGCTTTTGTCACCTACTTAGGTCAGAATCGACCTCGTGTCACAATCTGCATTTGTGTGGAACCGAGATAAATAAACACTATAGCGATGGCCTCCTTCGGATTGTCAGTTCAAATGACATGCGCAAGCCCTACACATTTGTACATGTTTGCGCACATTGTGTGAACTTGCGTTTTCAGATCGTCGCTAAGATGGCGAATGATAATAAAAATAAAATAAAAAAATATGATAGAAAAATCGCATCGCTTTGAAATAAAATTGGGAGAAAAGGGAATAGAAATTAAGTCAATACAAAAAGAAAAAAAAGAATTTCTAAAAGAAAAACTGCATCAATGAATGCGTTTGTATTCTCGCTGTTATTTCTCTATTTATTTATTTGTTTTCTAAGTGATTATTCGTTGTAAGGAGAGAATCACGCTTTTTATAGGGCGGGGTGCAGAAGAGGTGGGGACGATGAGGGATCTTTGCAAAATGTTTGCGATTCTATAGCTCAAACGAAAAACAAAAGAACAAAAAACGTGAAAATCTAACACATGATGACGTGATGACACAAATATTTTTTTTGTTTCTTTATCTTTGTTTTTCTTTATCTAATTTGTTTATTTTCTTGTTTTTGTTTGTTTTGTTTTTATTTGTTTCTTTTTATTTTATTTATTTATCTATTTGTTTTTCTTTTCTTACGTTTCATTCAAAAAGAGTTTCTCTCTACCTTCTGCAGATTCATTGCAGATTTTGTCGTCGATTCCATCTTTTTTTTTTCTTTTTCTTTTTTTCTTTTTTCGAGTTTCGTTTTCCATTTCTTACCTTTTTTCTTTTCTATCTTTTCTTTTTTGTTGTTTTTTGTCCATTTTTCTTTGGAAATCACTTTCTGTTTCCGTTTGTCATCTTTCTTTTTCATTATCTGTCGTTTCTCTCTCTCTCTCCCCCTCTCTCTCTCTCTCTCTCTCTCTCTCTCTCATTCTTTGTTCTTTTTCTTTCTTTCCCTCTTGTCCTTTACTTTTTTTCTTCTTTTTTTTGATTTATTTTATTTTCTCTCACTGGTTTCACTTTCTCTCTCTCTCTCTCTCTCTCTCTCTCTCTCTCTCTCAATCTATCTATCTATCGATATATATATCTATTTATCTCTCCCCCCCCCTCTCTCTTTCTCTCTCTCTCTCTTCGCATTTTATTTTTCTTCGGCTTATCGGGTTCAATTTCTTCTTTATTCTTTCCGCCTTCTCTCTCTTTCCCCCTCTCTCTTCCTCTCTCTCTCTCTCTCTCTCTCTCTCTCTCTCTCTCTATCTATCTATCTAATTATCTCCCCCCTCTCTCTCACTCTCTTCGCATTGTATTTTTCTTAGGCTTATCGGGTTCAATTTCTTCTTTATTCTTTCTGCCTTCTCTCTCTTCCCCCCCCTCTCTCTCTCTCTCTCCCCTCTCTCTCTTCCTCTCTCTCTCTCTCTATCTGTCTATCTATTTTTCTTTCTTTTATTTCTCTGTCTTCTTTCTTTTGGTGTCCGTCTTCTCTTTTTCCTTTTTTTTCAGTCTTTCTTTTTTCTTTCTCTATTTTTTTTTGTATTTTTCGGTTTTCTTTCTTTCTTTTTAACTTTTATATTTCTCTGTTTTATTCCATTCTTTCTTTCTTTCTATTCTTTTTTTCATTCTTGGGTTTCTTTCATTCTCTCTTTTTCTCTTCTTTTACATACTTTCTGTCTTTTTTCCTTCGCTCCTTGTTTGTCCTTTTTTTTTCTCCTTTTTTCTTTCTCTCTTAATTTTCTTGCTTTTATTTATAAATCTTTCTTTCTTTTTCTTACTTTCTCGATTGGTGTTCTTTCTTTTATTTCTCCATTTTTTTTCTCTTAACCTTTTTCATTTCCCTCTTGTATTTTTTCTCTTTTTTTTTCTCTATTTTTCTTTCTTTCTTCCTTTTTTTTTCTTTACTTCTTTGTTTCACACTTGTAACTTTTATTTCTTCATCATCCTTTCTTTCTTCCTTTCGTTCATTTTCTTTCTTTCTTTTCTTTTAGTCTACATTTATTTCTGAATCTTTCTTTTTCCTTTCTTTTTCTTCATATCTTTCTTTTTTTATCTCTATACATTTTTTTCTCTTTCGTTCATTCTTTCTCTTTTTTTCCTTTCTCTCTTGGTCTTTTTTCTTTTATTTAGCCATCTTTCTTTCTTTCATTCTTTCTTTGTTTCTTTTCTTTTTTTTTGTTTTTCTCTTGATCTTCTTTTATTTGTCCATCATTCTTTCTTTCTTTCTTTCTTTCTTTCTTTATTCAAATCGGTCCAGCCATATCTATTTAAGACTTTCTTTCTTTCTTTCTTTCTTTCTTTCTTTCTTTCTTTCTTTCTTCAAATCAAACCAGCCATATCTATTTAAGGCTTTATTTTTTCTTTCTTTCTTTCTTTCTTTCTTTCTTTCTTTCTTTCTTTCTTTTTTTCTTTCTACAAATCAGACCAGCCATATCTATTTATAACTTTCTTTCTTTCTTTCTTTCTTTCTTTTCTTTCTTTTCTTTTTTGTTTTTTCTCTTGATCTTCTTTTATTTGTCCATCATTCTTCGCTTTTTTCTTTCTTTCTTTCTTTTTTCTTTCTTTCTTTTCTGTTTTGTTTTTCTCTTTATCTTCTTTTATTTGTCCATCATTCTTTTTCTTCTTTCTTTTTCTTTTCTTTTTTTCTTTCTTTTCTTTCTTTCTTTCTTTCTTCTTCAAATCAACCCAGCCATATCTATTTAAGACTTTTTTTCTTTCTTTCTTTCTTTCTTTCTTTCTTTTCTTTCTTTTTTTCTGTTTTGTTTTCTCTTTATCTTCTTTTTTTATTTGTCCATCATTCTTTTTTTCTTTCTTTTTTTTTCTTTTCTTTCTTTTCTTTCTTTCTTTCTTTCTTTCTTTCTTCAAATCAGCCCAGCCATATCTATTTAAGACTTTCTTTCTTTCTTTCTTTCTTTCTTTCTTTCTTCCTTTCTTTCTTTTCTGTTTTGTTTTTCTCTTTATCTTATTTTATTTGTCCATCATTCTTTCCTTCTTTCTTTCTTTCTTTCTTTCTTTCTTTCTTTCTTTCTTTCATCAAATCAGCCCAGTCATATCTATTTAAGACTTTCTTACTTTCTTTCTTTCTTTCTTTCTTTCTTTTCTGTTTTGTTTTTCTCTTTATCTTCTTTTATTTGTCCATCATTCTTTTCTTCTTTCTTTCTTTCTTTCTTTCTTTCTTCAAATCAGCCCAGCCATATCTATTTAAGGCTTTCTTTTTTCTTTCTTTCTTTCTTTCTTTCTTTCTTTCTTTCTTTCTTTCTTTCTTTCTTTCTTCAAATCAGCCCAGCCATACCTATTTAAGGCTTTCTTTCTTTCTTTCTTTCTTTCTTTCTTTCTTTCTTTCTTTCTTTAAATCAGCCCAGCCATATCTATTTATAACTTTCTTTCTTACTTTCTTTCTTTCTTTCTTTCTTTTCTGTTTTGTTTTTCTCTTGATCTTCTTTTATTTGTCCATCATTCTTTTCTTCTTTCTTTATTTCTTTCTTTCTTTCTTTCTTTCTTTCTTTCTTTCTTCAAATCAGCCCAGCCATATCTATTTAAGGCTTTCTTTCTTTATTTCTTTCTTTCTTTCTTTCTTTCTTTCTTTCTTCAAATCAGCCCAGCCATATCTATTTAAGGCTTTCTTTCTTTCTTTCTTTCTTTCTTTCTTTCTTTAAATCAGCCCAGCCATATCTATTTAAGACTTTCTTTCTTTCTTTCTTTCTTTCTTTCTTTCTTTCTTTCTTTCTTTCTTTCTTCAAATCAGCCCAGCCATATCTATTTAAGGCTTTCTTTCTTTCTTTCTTTCTTTCTTTCTTTCTTTCTTTCTTCAAATCAGCCCAGCCATATCTATTTAAAACTTTCTTTTTTCTTTTCTTTCTTTCTTTTTCTTTCTTTAAATCAGCCCAGCCATATCTATTTAAAACTTTCTTTTCTTTTTCTTTTTTTTCTTTCTTTTTAAATCAGCCCAGCCATATCTATTTAAAACTTTCTTTCTTTCTTTCTTTCTTTCTTTCTTTCTTTCTTTCTTTCTTTCTTTCTTTAAATCAGCCCAGCCATATCTATTTAAGGCTTTCTTTCTATCTTTTCTTTTTCTTTTATTTTCTTTTCTTTCTTTCTTTCTGTTTTGTTTTTCTCTTGATCTTCTTTTATTTGTCCATCATTCTTTCTTTCTTTCTCATCTTTATCTTTTTTTCAAATTTTCTTTTTCCCGCCCTTTTTTATCTTCTTATTGTCTTCATCTATTTCGTTAGTTTCAATCATGTATAGCAATGTTTATTCAAACAAAGCGTATACATTGTGCTGTGAAACAGGACCGAAGAGAAAATGAGGAAAGGCACAATCAACTCTGTCTATCCAGTAACAAGGAATTCCGACTATTTTAAAACAATTTCCTCAATCACCACAAGAACCTACCCTTCTCCATCCAATCTAACATTTACCACAATAACTCATATTCGCAGGGTTCGACTAAAACACCCATGATTTTAAAAAATTCTTTATATGTACAAATACGAGGGTCATTCAATAAATAAGGTAAATGTTTCGGTATAAGGACTTCTCATACAGATAGAAGCTCCCTTTTTTTTTTTTTTCAACGTAGCCTCCCAGCACTATCACACACTTTTCCCATCTGTGCACAAGATTCCGTATTCCCTCAGCGTAAAAATCTTTGGACAGATGTCTCAGCCAGTCGTTCACAACACTTTTGACTTCATCGTCACTTTTAAACTTCGTGCCTCTCGTGAACGCTTTCAAGGGACCAAACAGGTGTAAGTCTGAAGGGGCAAGCTCTGGGCTGTAAGGGGGATGAGGGAGCAGTTCCCAGCCTAGCTCGTTGATGGTCTGCACCGTTTGGTCTGCTGTGTGAGGCCTTGCGTTGTCATGATGCAAGATGACTCCTTCTGACTGATGACCCCTGCGTTTGTTCTTTATGTCTTTCTTGACCTGCCTCAGCAGTTCACAGTAGTTCTTCTGTCAGACTGAATGAGGTCATTGACTGATTCGATCACCTCAGGAGACCTCACTACTGTAGGCCTCCCAGGCCTGTCTTCATCCTCAACACTGCTCCGTCTTTCTTTAAACAATTTAGCCCATTTGTAGACATTTTTTTTTTGGCTGAAACGTGTGGCACCATACACAGTTGACATTCTCCTATGAATTTCGTCTGGTTTGCACCCTTCAGCAACCAAAAACTTGATAACTAAACGTTGTTCAATCCTGGAGCATGCTTCTTGGTCGGCCATCTTTGTTAATCGCCAAAATTCTTAAAGTTTTTTTTTTAATCTGCAAAAGAAATTAAATCCATGTGAAAAAGAAGTAAAACAACAAAAAAAGTAAGCTTCTATCTGTATTAGAAGTCCTTATACCGAAAAATTCACCTTATTTATTGAATGACCTTCGTATATATAAGCGAACATTGAAGTCATCATATATCTCATGTATCATGAGAGTCCATTTTTTGAAAGACCAAATTACAATAGACTAACCTCTATACCTCTGTGTCTTTATCTCATCCTCTATTTAAAATAATTTTTTTTTTAAATATAAAGGAGAATGATAAAAGTATCGTTAGTAACGCTATACTCGTTGCGTAAACGCGTACAGCCATAAACAACCGAAAGAGAAACGGCTAAACAACTTATAAACATAAACAATGGTAAAGATGCATATTCGCTATGTTTGTATTTTATAATACGATGCCAATATGTGAATATTAGTATCGTAATATTTACCATAAACGTTCTTTAAACTTAACTCAAAAACGAAGGATTTGCGGACATATGTATATATTGACTTTTGTCTTTGTTTTCTTGTGAGGAACCTGCCCCCAAAGTTTGTAAAAGTATTTTCGATAAACCCTGTATATATATATATATATATATATATATATATATATATATATATATATATATATATAAAGGGAGAGGTTTTAGTTCCAACGAAAGTATATATTTTAAACAGAAGAGAGAAGCTGCAAACGTTTTTCCTAATGATGTGGATCTTTTAAATATATATTATACTTTATTTTCCATATTTTTGCTGCACGTGTTTCCGGTCTCGTGACCTTCATCAGGCAAACATTGGTTATTTCTAGATATTATTAAAAGGAATTAACTTTCCTTATGTTTTCCGATGTTTAACCATTGTCTTTTGTGTGTAGTAGTAATTCAAATTTTTCTTGGAATTGTAGCGAAAATATTCTCCTGCTTAAGGGGTAATAAAGCAATTTGAATTGGATAGAGAAAAAGCGAAAAAGGGGGTGCTTCGCCCTTTCTCTGACCAATATTCCCCCCACATATATATATATATATATATATATATATATATATATATATATATATATATATATATATATATATATAAGACAATAGGAAAACTGTAATATTAGCCGACGTGTTTCGTCCAATGTGGACTTCAACGCAAAAATGGTTGAATCCGTCAACATAACAATCAAAGCAATATTTTCACACGTGACAGTACTTGACGTAATTTTCATTTGACAATATTAATATAATAGCGTTTTCTAAATTCTTCCAGTAGCTAAGGACATTTTGATTTGTTATTAATAGTTACTTTGTTTTTAATTGATTCATTTCGTTTTTGCCTTGAAAATATCTTAACACAATATAGAATTTTAAATATTAAATATTAAATGTTAGAACTGACTCACACAAGAGCGCACAATGTGTGTTTCATTAAACAGAATAAATTATTTCATAAAATTGGAATTAATATACGATTAGCTAATAATCATTTTCGCCTTTCTTTCCCCAGCTGACTATTCCTCTTCAACAAGCTGACACCATAAACAGTTTGAAAAATCCTGTAAATTTTTAATTTAGAATTCGTGAGTGAAAATGATCATTCAATAATTGTATCTTAATTCCAATTGTATGATATATATATATATATATATATATATATATATATATATATATATATATATATATATTGTGATAAAAAGAAAGAACAGTAAGATATATAAATCCGTTTGTCTTATTGATATTTTTATTTTTACAAAACAATTCTCAATGTAAATTTACAGAGCCTAAATATTATAAATTAACTGATTTAAAATATGATTTCTTCGCTACACAGGAATTACCATGTTTCAAAGTTAATCCAAAATTCGCTTGAAGATGAAACAGAAGTAATGCTTTTAATTTAATTATATAATTAAATTTGAAGTTTTTAGCTTCAGTTTTTGAAACATGCTAATTCCTGTTTAGCGAAGAAACTATATTTAAATCAGTTGATTTATATATATATATATATTACAATTTTATTAGAAAAATATACAAAGAATTTCACAATCATAAATCATAGGAATGACTGAAAAATTTCTTCCTATCCAGTAAGATCAGCCACTTTTCGGTTAGTTCAGTTCATTCTTGTCTTGAAACAGAACGCTGTGATCGCTTGTGTGTATCCCCTTTTTTGTGCTAAAGCTATTTTTAGCTTGTGAACGTTTCGCCTCATTTACTCTTGCTTTGCTAACTTTTGCCGTACGTAATTTGTTTGCTTTTATTTTTAAAATGTTCTTTTCTTTTTTCTTTTTTTTTTTGTTCTCTTATTGTTTATTGTAAACTTTGTCATTTGTTTCTGTTGCAAATCTCTGCCAAATGCATTTAACCATGGTGGTTCACAAACTATTATGCCCGTTGCACTCATTCCACTCTAAGTCAAGATGTCATTCCCCTCCTTTCCAAGATTTTCCAATGTGAATTTCAAATAATATACATATATTATTGAAAATCACCATTCTTTTCATTATTAGTTCATCTATATTTAAATGGATTATTTTTGTAGTGGCGAACAAAAAACACAAGAACAATCTGAAACAAGGCCCAACCTGACCTCTTAATTGCGCCGGTTGTGTCGGCTTAGGGATTTCGAAAGTTAACACTTTGAGTCTACCAATCGTTGACAACTATTCACAACTAAAATTCTGGACTACTCTCTAGGTTAGAATTTCCCACTGCTGGAGAACACAATCTCTATGAAAGTGAGAAATGCTGATGCCTGTACCTACGTTCCGTAGATTACGCTGCAGCATTTAATAGAGTATGACACGAAAAGCTACTTGAAATACAAGTAAACCTTCGTTTAGACGAGAAACATTTTTTTTTTTAAATCCATAACCTTTACAAGGATACTAGAGCAAAGAAATTTTTGGTTGCTAGACTTTTCTGCTAACCTGATGAATATTCATGAGCAACCCTATACCAAAACATTTTCAAAACGAATAATATTTTGCTCTTGTATATAAATACTTGTTACAAAATAAAACCCTTACATTTGCTTTGATATATTCCTCTAGAGAACGAAAGGCGTCGGGTAATATATGTTTTCCTTCTTTCTCTCTCTCTCTCTCTCTCTATATATATATATATATATATATATATATATATATATATATATATATGTGTGTGTGTGTGTAGGCAGAAAAAATTCTCTTTTAGGCATGTCTGATTGAATAAATTACAGTCATTACGTCTGTTATTTTTACCAAAATCCTTTCATACTCACGAATAACCTCCCGTCTATTGCTGTTAAAGAATGAGAGAAATGGGCTATAGCTGTTTAAATTTCTTTTATTTTTATTTTCCAAGTACTTTCGATCTTCTTCCAAGATCATCTTCAGGGGTGCAATTAGTACAAAACTATTATTAGTAGTACAAGTATTTATACAATGTAATAGGTTGTTATCCATTACCATAATTTTTTCATCATGCATTTAAATGCAAAACGGTTGACACAATGTCTGTAATTTATTCAATCATATATATATATATATATATATATATATATATATATATATATATATATATATATATATATATATATGAAGAACAAACAGTAAATGTTTATAAGTCTAACATGCTTCATTTTTATTATAGCTTCGTCAGAGAGTGACATATATATATATATATATATATATATATATATATTCCACTGTATATATATATATATATATATATATATATATATATATATATATATATATATATATATATATATATATATATATATATATATATATATAAAGGCACAGTGGAGTAGTGGATAGTGTTTTCGGATTGAGGAATCGGAGAGCTGAGTTCGAATTCCAGTCGAATCCATTACATCCACTTGGGAAAGTTATTAATCCTCCTCTTCCTCCAGCTATGGGTAAATAGCGGGACAGACTGGGTTCTATTGCCTTGGATGCCAACTGGCCTAAGAGAAGGCCAACTCTGAATGCAAAACCTGCAGAGGGTCGTTTGGACGCCAGGTCTCTCTTCGGCCCTTCAAAAAGTGTGGTTGGTTCTGCACAAAGCCTTCACCACTAGAATCAAATCATATGTGATGGTGTTTGGGCTGTTGGTTCCTAGGAACTGATCTGATTGTCCCTCATATGTAGAATACGACGGGAGAGTCCCCTATACACACACATATATATATATATGTGTGTGTGTGTGTGTGTGGAATTGTTTATTCGAAAATTATAACATAAATATGTTATAAAATCACTACAAAAATAGCCATTTTGTTTCAACACCTCTGGTGTCATATCAAGTGATGATGTTGAATGTAGAATAAAGGCTTTTAAAAGGACTTAAAACCTTTTTCAATGACTTCTATCAGTCTATCTTCATAATATTCGTACATATTGATAATAACGTCTCTTCGTGTTTCTAGCAGTCTATTTTTAGCATCTTGTATGCGCTGCCGCAGTTCAGCCTCACTGGTTATTTCTGGCCCGTCGTAAACAAGATCTGCAAGCATTTCCCATATGTTTTCAATTAAATTTAAGTCTAGACTTCTTGCAGGCCATTCCAGAGTAGTCATATTTGCTTCACACATCCAATTTTTCATTAATTTGGCCACATAGATGCTGCAGTTATCTTGCTGCAAAATAAAATTACTTCCCATTTCTTTTTCTATGAGTGGTAGGGCTCTCTTTTCCAAAAGTTCTCTGTAGCTCAAGCTATTTTGACGTCCTTTTAACCACAAGCCACAAGATTCCATTCGGAAATATCATATCCCAAACCATGATTCTTTTTCCTCCCATCTGTCTCTTGTTGAGAATAACAGGTTCACCTTTTCCGACCATTTACACCACCCGTCAGGTCCATCGAACTTAAAACGTTTTTCGTCAATAAATATTATTTTCTTGATGTCGACATGGTTTGTTATCCATCTTTTGTCGCTTCCCAGCCTTTCCCCCTTGTGTTTTCTCGTTAGTGTTATTCTTTTCTTGATTTTAGCATACTTAAGTCCAATTTCGTGTAGCTTTCTTTGTACAGTTCGAACACTGACGTCAAGTTCACATTTCTCCTTTACTTTCTTCGTTGTCACCTTTTCTCCAGATGATAACAACCTCGTAACACTCTTCTTCATTCTTCTTTCTGTTCTCTTGGAAATTGTTTTTTTTTTTTCGTCCTCTCTTCTTCTTCCGCTCATAGTCTGTACTAAGCATATATTCAACTGTTGACTTCGGTAGCTTCATCTCAGCGGCGATCTTTCGGATGCTGAGCCCGTCTTCTCTCTTCTTTTGGACCAAACTGATGACTTCTTTTGAATGCATTCTTCTTCAGGATTTTAATACGTTTTCGCAGTGAATGGTAAAGGTACTCAAATGTAATGGTCAGGGTACAAATATTTGCATATTGTAGACGTTCGACGACTAAACCATTAAAAAAACCGGAATTTGTTTCATGTCCGAAAAATAGTGTCGCCTAAGTTGAAGTAAAACTAAAGAAAACATGAAACCAAAGACAAACCCATCAATCAATGTTCATACCATTAATGGACAGTTACTGCTGAACTACCTACTCATCAACACAAAAGCTCTCGGCAGCAAAAAAACACCTTTAAGCACACTTTTCAAAGTGTCCCAAAAATAGTGTCGGCCCCCTGTATGCTGTGTAAAGATCACTTTTTCATACCTAACGTCGACCAATATTTGGCAAGAGCACTTAAACAGGAAACAGATGAAACAATATTTGACACGTTTGATTACTCATACGAAATCTGTTTGTAAAGTAGTGGGACTGGGTGTGTTGTGTAAGTTATGGGCAACAAAGGGATAAACGGAGTGTTTTTATCTAACCTGATATCTTGGGAGTATATAACTGTAATCTTAGCTTTCTGCAACCATTACATTTTTACATGCTTTTGTGGCAGGATAAAGACTTGTTTTGGAGGCGTGGAGGCCATCAGGATAGCAGTAACGACCAGGCTGTGTGGCATCCTAGAAAAACTCCTACAGCAGCGCAGAAAAGCGTTACAGAGGAGGATGGAAAAGTGCATTAGACTTGAAAGGGGTTATTTTGAAGGGAAAACCATGTACTTTGTTTGGAATTGGAATTGGAATAAATTGGTTGCGACTCCAGTCCCGTTACTTTACAGACACACCTCGTGATACTGCACAAATATTTTGTTTGTTTATCAATTTCAAATGTTTATCTTCTGTAAAATAATAAAAAAAAAAAGAAAAAGTGAATTGATCAAAAATCTTTTTTCCGTCTGGATTCTGAGGATCAATAAAATAAAAGACGCCATTTTTTACACAAGTGCACGTCGATATGACATCTGTCAAAGAAGAATGAAAAAACATCTTTTCGAATGAATTTTGTTAAAATGAAACGCTCTTAATGCCATATAACAACAAAAACAGAAAGATTTCTATTTTTTTAGGCGACCCAGTAAAATATTTTGCTAATAAATGCTCACGTCCAGCAGAATGTCTTGAGCTAACATTCTCTGCTGACATGAAGTGGAAAGATTATATCGAACCGATTCCTCATTGTGTTCCTAGGAAAGTTAGTTCTTTGCATTGTGCTAGAAAATTTTTCTCTCTCCCTCAAGAATCTATCTTTATATATTTATAAGTCTACCATTCGCCAATGTTTTGAATATTTGATGCCTTCTGGCTTGGTGTTCTTGCTACTTATTTAGCGGTTCTTGATAACATACAAAGAAGAAGCTGCAATGTCATTGGTCATGCCCTGGCATCTCGGTTTCGACCATTTTGCCATCGCTCTAATGTAGGTTCTCTGTGCCGTTTCTGTAAATATTTTCGTGGTAATTATTCTGATAAAATTTTAGATTAGCACAGTACTAGATTGGCATCAACAGGCTGCATAAAATCTAGTATATACCGTACCTGTGAACACTAATTGGTATGTCCCAATCCTCTTAAGCACATTGGACAATATTGTAAGTGGTGCGGGGGTAATATGGTGTCTATGTAGTCCAACACTATCAGTGGTTTACCTATTTTCACGCCGCTGGCAAGTGATGTATTTTGTTGATGTTATAAAGATTACGATTTCATTTCCAACCTCCGTTTGGGTTATTCCTCATTCAGTAACCTTTTCTAGGTTACAACACTATTACACACTATTCTTTCTTTCTTTCTTTCTTTCTTTCTTTCTTTCTTTCTTTCTATTACAATCTCTTCTTAATTATATATCTATTACAATATGTTCTTTTCTATCTATCTATCTGTTATATACCGTTCCTATGAACACTAATGGGTATGTCCCAATCCTCATAAATATGTTGGACGTTATTGTAAGTGTGGGATGGGTAATATGGTGTCTAAGTAGTCCGCCACTAGCAGTGGTTTACCTACTTGACGCCGCTGGCGAGTATTGTATTTTGTTGATGTTATAAAGATTACCATTTCATTTCCAACCTGCGTTTGGGTTATTCCTCTTTCAGTAGCCTTTTCGAGGTTACAACAAAATCAAAGGATGTTACTCTGACATAAGAGAAAGAAAAATACGGGCTGGAAATATTAAAAACCGAAGTGAAAGCTGCACTGGCCAAATTGAGCAGGAAAAAAGTAGGGCGACCTATTTTGATAGCACTGCATAAGAAACCTGCCGCAAACAAATGTAAACTCAACCGGACAATCAGCCTAATTAGCCACATAACAAAACTCATCATCCGAACTCTGATGAATAGAGCAGCAGAATCGGGCCAGAGATAGGACAAGAACACTACGGGTTCGTCAAAGAACACCGGAACAAGGAACGCTATATTCATGCTCAGAATGTTATCAGAAAGAGCAATACAAATGCAGAAGAACGTGTACCTATGTTTTATACACTACGCAAAGGCGTTGGACAAAGTACGTCACAAGAATAGGTTAGAGCTGCTCAGCAACCTTTACATATTCGATGTTAGAATAATCATGAAACTCTACTGGCAGCAAACCGCTTTCATCAGATATAAAAAGATAGAAAGGGGCGTAAGACAAGGATTGGTCTTCTCGCCGGACTTATTCAAGTGAGGTGATTCTGAGAGAACTAGAATTCCTACCAGGATTCATTATTGGCGGCCACAATCTTACGAACATAAGATATCTAGATGATAGCAGACACAGAAAGGAAACAACAAATCTCCTACAGAAGGCAGTGAAGGAAAGCGAGAAGAAAGGACTATCTATAAACTACAAGAAGACAGAATACGTGGTTATCAACGAAAGGATGAGTCCAAAATACAAAACAGACCGGGTATACTAAAATCAAAGTACAGAAACTTAAATATCTAGAAAGTGTTCTAATAAAGGACGTAAAGTGTGACACTGAGATCCGAAGACTTACTGGGGTGGTGAAAGATGCATTCCAAAATCTAAGCAGAGTATTAAGTGAATTGATCAAAAATCTTTTTTCCGTCTGGATTCTGAGGATCAATAAAATAAAAGACGCCATTTTTTACACAAGTGCACGTCGATATGACATCTGTCAAAGAAGAATGAAAAAACATCTTTTCGAATGAATTTTGTTAAAATGAAACGCTCTTAATGCCATATAACAACAAAAACAGAAAGATTTCTATTTTTTTAGGCGACCCAGTAAAATATTTTGCTAATAAATGCTCACGTCCAGCAGAATGTCTTGAGCTAACATTCTTTGCATCGTGCTAGACAATTTTTCTCTCTCCCTCAAGAATCTATCTTTTGTTAGAAACAAAGAAAACGGTACTGAACTGTTATGTAATATCTGTCCTCCTGTATGGCAGCGAATGCTGGACAATCTCCTCAAAGATGAGACTTCAAGCAACAGAAATGCGGTTCTACAGAAAGATGCTGAGGATACCATGGACCGACCATGTGATCAACAAAGAGTATTTGGAGGAAATAGAAACATAAGTGAAGCTTAATACTTCAGGAAGAGGCAGTTGAGATTTCTGGGGCACGTAATGAGGAAAGAGGGCTTGGAAAACCTGATACTCACATGACAGATTGAGGGAAAGGGGGACAGAGGAAAGCAGCTTGTAATATAATTGATGAACTCGAGTAAAAGGATGGTAGAACAGGGTTCGGGAGAAATAATAAAAAGGTAAAATCTATTAAGAGATACAAGGAACAGGAAGATGAGGAGGGCCATGATCGCCTGTATCCTGAAGGGGCACATAAAATAAGAATACTAGATTGACGACAAGATCTCATCATCTTACAGTTGAAATGACTAAAAGCAACCGTAAGTTCTATGCTGGCTCTTTCTTCTATCGCACTTCTCGCTCGTGGAACTCTCTTCCGACTTCTTGCTTTCCAGTCAACTTTGGTCTTCATATATTTAAATCCAATGTCAATCGTTATTTTCGATCTTCTTAATTCCTCTTCTTTTATTGTCCTTTCCCCTCACTAAAGTCTTTTACTTCTCTTTCACTCTTCTTACTTTCCAGTCAACTTTGGTCTTCAAAAATCTAAATCCAATGTCAATCGTTATCTTCTGTCTTAATTCATCTTCTTTTATTTTTTCTCGCTCATTAATAATGTTTTTTTTCTTTTTCTTATATTATTTTACATTCAGTAATTCTCTTCGTCTTGGTGGCTTTGTTGCCTTGCTTGGTATGAGATGTGAACGAAGGGGTGTAAGCATAAATGGCGCTCGATGTCTCATTTGCCAGACGTCAGATTAGATTAAATTAAATTGCAGCTATACCTGGGCCAAATCTTCTCTTTTCGGGCTCGAGACAGCTGAAAAAATTTTACGCGGTTTTGTTGGTTAAGGATAATTTCCCACACGGCAACCCTTTTCTTAGAGACACAAAATTGCAAGCCTCTTGCTACTTCATCACGTTTTCCATGCAACGTTTACTGACGAGCTATATAACTTATTTCTACCATTTCCGGCCTTTAAGGCCAGGGGTCGCCATGCCTAGAGCACAGTGGTGAACCATCACCATCCCCTTTCGTATTCCATTTGTAAAAAATAATTACCGTTCGAAGGACAGCTTCCTTCCAAGGGCCGCCTCTTTGCGCAATAGACCAGCAAATCAATCGTATCTTTTCTCTCTATCTTCATATTACAAACTTTTTTACCCCTTACTAACTCGTTCATATTACACACCTCATTCCTCACAAAATTCTTAACAGTAACCTCTGCCTTGAGGGTTTCACGGGCCTTTTATTTGGTGCTCTTTATTGTAGAAATGTTGGTGCAAGATGGAAAAAGATACGATGACACGCTTTCAATGATAAATGTTCGTTTTTGTATCGGTAAATACCGAACTCCCAACGTATGTAAAAGACAGCACAAGATCTGGTTTAATTTAAATGAAGTAAATGGCGCAGCCGCTTGAAATCCAACGATTTCCCTCTACCAGGGCCGCTAGATAATCCCCACTGCAGACGCCAGCTCAGGCACATTTATTTTTGTTCAACACCCAGAGAGCCCACCTGTGCTTTTTGCAGAAACTATGATGAGCGAACCTTAGTTACAGTTTCTGGGGGAGGGCGTGATCAATAGTCTGAAAAAAAGGTAGCATCCTCTGAAATTTTGCCCAGTCCCCGTGGGCGCTGTCACTCTGACATTAAATCGCCCTCTTTAGTACATTGATGGGGGGTGCTTCCGCAGGTTTGCAATGACCTTTACCTGGTATCCCACATAGTTTAATGAGGAGGAGAAAAGTTATTACATTGTCATCTTAGTCTTAAACCATAAAAGAAAGATCACTAAATCTAATCTGAATATATGGCGTACATTGAAACGAAATTACATCTTCAATTAGCGCTTTTGGTGGAAATAATGAACGCCTTTTAATATGATTTCTGAAAATAAATTCAATTTTAAAATCAAGTCTCCTGGCGAGTGGACCCAATCTCCGCAAGATTCAGAGAAAGTGAACAAATTTAATTTATTTTATTAGGGAAAAAAGTTTGACAAATTGGAAAAAGTTATCTTGTGACGCGTTTCGTCCTTTAAGACTTCATCGGACTAAATTTGTTATGTTGGTGCGACTACACATGCGCACGAACGAGGGATGCTGGGAATTCAAAAATATTTTTTTTTTAATCTAGCAGATTTTATTTAGATTCTTTTTCCTTTTTTCCATCACTTTTGTTAGAAGGTGTCCCATATTGTGATAATAGATCTGTCTATATTTCTGAGATGAGGTATTATGTACACTATTTACATTATTCGGACTATTGTCTTCATCTTTGTTGACATATTTATCCCAAGGTTTCGGCCCTTTGTATCTGTCTATATTTCTGAGATGAGGTATTATGTATACTATTTACATTATTCGGACTATTGTCCTCATCTTTGTTGCCATATTTATTACAACATTTCGGCTCTTCAGTATCTGTCTATATTTCTGAGATGAGGTATTATGTACACTATTTACATTATTCGGACTATTGTCTTCATCTTTGTTGCCATATTTATCACAAGGTTTCGGCCCTTTGTATCTGTCTATATTTCTGAGATGAGGCATTATGTACACTATTTACATTATTCGGACTATTGTCCTCATCTTTGTTGCCATATTTATTACAACGTTCCGGCCTTTCAGTATCTGTCTATACTTCAGAGATGAGGTATTATGTACACTATTTACATTATTCGGACTATTGTCTTCATCTTTGTTGCCATATTTATCACAAGTTTTCGGCCCTTTGTATCTGTCTATATTTCTGAGATGAGGCATTATGTACACTATTTACATTATTCGGACTATTGTCCTCATCTTTGTCGCCATATTTATTACAACGTTCCGGCCTTTCAGTATCTGTCTATACTTCAGAGATGAGGTATTATGTACACTATTTACATTATTCGGACTATTGTCTTCATCTTTGTTGCCATATTTATCACAAGGTTTCGGCCCTTTGTATCTGTCTATATTTCTGAGATGAGGCATTATGTACACTATTTACATTATTCGGACTATTGTCCTTATCTTTGTCGCCATATTTATTACATCGTTCCGGCCTTTCAGTATCTGTCTATACTTCAGAGATGAGGTATTATGTACACTATTTACATTATTCGGACTATTGTCCTCATCTTTGTCGCCATATCTATCACAACGCCAGAGAAAAGTGATAATAACAAAAAAATTGCAATATGAGCTTTGGTAAAAACATGAAATGATAAAGGCAAAAATTGCAATATGAGCACTGGTAAAAATGCTTGCTGAAGACATTAGGTTTATAATACCCAGAAATTCATACACAGATGTCATCAAAGACACATGGCACAGTGAATAAAGGCGTTAGT